ATAATAATATATATATATATATATATATATATATATATATATATATATATATATATATATATATAGAATATATGAAGAATATATGCTACAGAAGACCATAATTGTTCCAACTTCTTACACTATTTTTACCGTTGATACAGAACAACAAAGTCGAAGAGTCCTTCGAGCTCGCGGCATCTCGTCATACACAGAACAATTTTACTCAGACGATGAGATCGAGGAGAAAGAGTTGGAAGAATGGACCGATGTTGAGGCAGTGTACGCGGCTCCCAGCGCACAGATCGGTGCATCCATTACACACTTTGCTGCGAAGATCAAGCAATCTGACGACCGTACCAACGAAGAGGACTCAGACCAAGATTGGATTCTACCGAGCTCTCGCAAAAGGAAAAATAAACGTCCGTGTAAGTATGCGTATGGAGACAGGCTTTATTCTCTTCAGATTTCTTGAATTAAATGAAATTAATGAATTTAAATGTGATTTTTTTTGCAGCTGCCAATAGAAGACTGAAATCGTTCCAGCAAAAGTTACAAAGCATCAAGGTCGGCGAGCTGCAAGAAGCAGCTGAATCTGTGATGGCTGCTCCTTCAATAGACAAAGAGGAAGAGAAAGTTGAAAATAAAGAAATCCCGGACAGTCAACCAAAGAATCTAGAAGAACCACCGACATGTCCTCATCCGGTGAACAATACCACAGAAAGTTCCGAGAATACGACAGAGCATGATCCTAAAAAAACAGTGCCTTCCGCGGAGCCAGCTTGCAAAATCGAAAACATTGAAAGCGTGCATTCAGAGTTGGACATCAAAGACGAGGGCCCGATCTACGACTATCCACCGCAACACCCTAGCAATAGCTATCCCCCAAGCATCAATCCGAACTATGTGATGGTCAAGACAGAATCCAACACGATGAACTACTATGTAATGCAGTCAAACATGGTACCACAGCAGACTCTAATACACCCTGGTGGTTCCTTAGTGTCGAATGTCGTACCATCCATGCCGCCAGGATATTATATGCAAGATGGTCATAATTACATCATTCAAAACCCACAACCCGGTTACGTTCCGGCTCAAGCATTTCAGCCCCAAGGACCTCAAATGTTAGCGCCTCAACAGTTCGTAAGTCAGCCCGGCTACTTGCCATACATGATGGCAGCGGCACAGCCACAGCGTGGTTACATGCCCAGCAGTCCACAGTTTATAAATCACGGAATACCTCAGAACCCTTCGAATATGATGCCTTCTAATCAACCCACGCCGAATAAACCTCTCCAGATTAGGTATCCACCATTGAGGCAAGCACATCCGCACCCTAATGGCGCGGTAATTAGAAGCAGCATGCCAATCAGAGGAAACTCTCCGCGAGCCGGTTACCCTAGAGCGAAAATGATGCAACAGCAACGCGGGATGCCAGTGAAGACTCAGAAGTTAAAAAAGCAGAACGTTGTCGCGGAAAACCCCGCCCAAAAGACTACGTCCTTGATCGTTCTTAGCGACAGTGACGATGAGATTGAAATGATTATCACCGAAAAGACGGGTTCTGAAGCGGATACGACCAGGATGAAGGCAGTACCTCGCAGAAACCAAGTGCAGAAGAACCCAACCGTTACCTCAGACATGTCTGTCTCCAAGCCAAAGAGTGCCATTCCTCCGCAAATAATGCAACGCATGAGTCAAGGGGGCATCTCGATTACGCCTGTAAAACCCGCGCAGCCAGTTCAGAACGCAAGCACACAGTTAGTGGTGGTTGTGAACGAAACTGGAAGCCATTATGCCTTAGCACTGCCTAACGGAAGCAAACTCATTCTCACCCCTGAACAAGTGGCGCAAATCAGAGCTTCGAACGGCGGAAAATTGATTTTGTAATCGAAATGATCCAGAATTCAGCGGAATAAACGAACTTTCCTAATCGGTCAAACCAGTGCGCAATTATAAATCGAGTGGACAAAGATGATATACGCTGGTGATCTCTTTCTTACTTAGGGTATATACCTTCGAAGCGGATGTTCCTACTATTTTTTAGTAGTGTAATAACTATGATATGGGTATTGGAATATTTTTTCCTACTGCACTGTCGAATAAGTCATTGTTTCAACTTATAAACATTATTGAAAGTTTTTTACATTTCCAAGAAATCTTTATTTTATTTAATTATATCTGATGATGTTTTCTTTGGAACTAGAGAAAGATTGCAAAATGTTTAGAGTGATACTCTGAGACCTGTGATGCCTATATCAATTTTTATATATTTTTGTTATATCGAATCGAAGCAATATTGGTATGCTAAGCTGTACGAATGCGATGAAGATTCCAGCGGACCATCGGTTTCGTTCAGTGTAAGAGAAAATGTAGTACTCTTGTAATTTGTGAATATTATTTTATAAGATAGAGATTATCTTGCTTCGCAAAATACATATAAGACGATATAATAAGAACACACAACGATTTGTGTATTAGTTTAATTGTAAAGTTAAATTTTTATTACAAAAATTAGATAACATGAGTTTACATTGATTGTAACAATGACTTCCAATGTACTATTTACACAGTGCATCACATTAAAGTTAAATTCTGTGCTGTCCAGCTTCGAATGCGGTCGTGAAACATTAATATTAAATTAGCACGTATTTCTTAGACCAGTAATAGTTATGTAAATAAGTTATGCGGGTAGGGTAACGCGTAAAATTATGCTTGTGATCTACGAACCTGAAAAACATTACAAAGTTTAATGTTAAACGATCATCAAAATGCACTATACATTTTACTACTTGAACATTTTGTAACATGGCTCATTAAAAGATGTAAAATACGTGGAACAAGAAATGATGCGCATACAAACCTCTTTACACAGTGGTAAAAATAACTTTTAAGAGTACGAAACACTTCTACTATACTCTGAACTTAACTTAATCCACGCTTTTTTTACTTACACAGTTAAAAATAGCGATATAAATGTAAATGTTATTTTCATTACATGGCAGAATTAAATAACTAATCATTGAAATTACTAAAAGGGAAAAACTAATAAGGAAAATTTATCCATGTACTATCTGTTGCATAAATTGTTCATGTTATTTTTTGTATAATTTATATACTTTCTCATATTATTAGCGAGTATAATGCCTTATTATTTACCATTAGAAAGTTTTGTTAATACCAATTGCAAAAAATTATATTTCCAGATAACAATGCGCAAATTATGCGTATATTTGAAATCGTTTAATGTGTATATTGTATAAATTGTATATTCAACGTATTTATTCACATATATTACTTTATTTCTTTACAATGTCTTACGCTTATGTTAAAAATATAATACAAAAATACATCAAGAAAACTTTATACACCTCACAATGAATAGGAACGTTAAATATTTTAGCGACAATAAGTATGTTTCGTCTTCGAATCTAAATTACAAGAAAAAGTACATGACGGACGTCGGACTCTAAAGAATTAATAAAGGTACAGGAACTAAAATTATTTACAGAAGTATTAACAACACACGAAGTAAAGTTATCGCGAATCGAGGCATTTGAAATACAATTAAAATTTTTAAATAATATTTAATCGAATCGAAAGAATCCAATTTAAAAATTCGTGCGACTTTGTGAAACTAACTCAAAAATATCTACAGGAAATATTCGTTTCACCTCGTTGATTAGAAGCATCCTAAATCTGATTTTTGTGTTTCTGTATGTCTTTATCGACAGCGAGAAACCTCGACAAACGTGATCCATTGTAAGGTGTGACGCTCCCAGGTGGATGCAGCCTCATCTAAAACAAAAATGCAATTTTGAAACCACTGTATATCTACGAATGAAGCGAGAAACGTTGAAGAAAATTAAAATTTATCGTATAATTTACTGCTCAAACATTATATGATGAATTACTACCTACCGCAATAAGCATATTTTTGATGCAGTTGTCAGGTTCACTTTATGATAGAAGGTCGAGAATATAGATTATTACTACAGTTATATTTTATTTTTGCATCGAGGAATTTCACTAGCATTATAAAGTAATTAAAATTTAATCGGCTAATTAAACAATTAATACATAACATCTCTCNTGCGGGTAGGGTAACGCGTAAAATTATGCTTGTGATCTACGAACCTGAAAAACATTACAAAGTTTAATGTTAAACGATCATCAAAATGCACTATACATTTTACTACTTGAACATTTTGTAACATGGCTCATTAAAAGATGTAAAATACGTGGAACAAGAAATGATGCGCATACAAACCTCTTTACACAGTGGTAAAAATAACTTTTAAGAGTACGAAACACTTCTACTATACTCTGAACTTAACTTAATCCACGCTTTTTTTACTTACACAGTTAAAAATAGCGATATAAATGTAAATGTTATTTTCATTACATGGCAGAATTAAATAACTAATCATTGAAATTACTAAAAGGGAAAAACTAATAAGGAAAATTTATCCATGTACTATCTGTTGCATAAATTGTTCATGTTATTTTTTGTATAATTTATATACTTTCTCATATTATTAGCGAGTATAATGCCTTATTATTTACCATTAGAAAGTTTTGTTAATACCAATTGCAAAAAATTATATTTCCAGATAACAATGCGCAAATTATGCGTATATTTGAAATCGTTTAATGTGTATATTGTATAAATTGTATATTCAACGTATTTATTCACATATATTACTTTATTTCTTTACAATGTCTTACGCTTATGTTAAAAATATAATACAAAAATACATCAAGAAAACTTTATACACCTCACAATGAATAGGAACGTTAAATATTTTAGCGACAATAAGTATGTTTCGTCTTCGAATCTAAATTACAAGAAAAAGTACATGACGGACGTCGGACTCTAAAGAATTAATAAAGGTACAGGAACTAAAATTATTTACAGAAGTATTAACAACACACGAAGTAAAGTTATCGCGAATCGAGGCATTTGAAATACAATTAAAATTTTTAAATAATATTTAATCGAATCGAAAGAATCCAATTTAAAAATTCGTGCGACTTTGTGAAACTAACTCAAAAATATCTACAGGAAATATTCGTTTCACCTCGTTGATTAGAAGCATCCTAAATCTGATTTTTGTGTTTCTGTATGTCTTTATCGACAGCGAGAAACCTCGACAAACGTGATCCATTGTAAGGTGTGACGCTCCCAGGTGGATGCAGCCTCATCTAAAACAAAAATGCAATTTTGAAACCACTGTATATCTACGAATGAAGCGAGAAACGTTGAAGAAAATTAAAATTTATCGTATAATTTACTGCTCAAACATTATATGATGAATTACTACCTACCGCAATAAGCATATTTTTGATGCAGTTGTCAGGTTCACTTTATGATAGAAGGTCGAGAATATAGATTATTACTACAGTTATATTTTATTTTTGCATCGAGGAATTTCACTAGCATTATAAAGTAATTAAAATTTAATCGGCTAATTAAACAATTAATACATAACATCTCTCTCTCTCTCTCTCTCTCTCTCTCTCTCTCTCTCTCTCTCTCTCGAATGAATATCGAAACAACCGTAGAATTTCATTACAGTCATAGCTTTTGCTCGATTTATTAACCAACTAGCACTCAAAAATTAATTGAACGATATCCATCGTTTAGCTTGTATTGTACAATGCAAAGTTAGTGTGCAAACGGTTATCAAAATGTTGAAAATCGCATAACTGATACTGTTCTTCGAAAGCAACTTTCTGAAGCCATACTCGAGGGGATTAATTAATGATTAATCTACCCAACTCCATTGTGGTTAGTTTTATTAATGTTATTATCAAAAATACAAATCATCCATCAAGCTTGGACACTACGAAGCACCTTAGCAGGTTCGACATCAAAAAAATGTATAAAAATCTCTAAGTTGACCCGGTCAGAATTTTTTTTCAAAGTGCATCGAGAATTACAATGTTTATTGGAACACTTTATTATATAATACGCAGTGATTATAATTATGAATTTTCTCCTTCGAAGGTATTCGATCGTTCCGCCGATCGAGTGACACGGATCATTGTTCTAATTTGAAAACTGGAGTGCATTGTAATTATGGGACTGGCAGGATGCAAGCTTGAGCATTAGTGGAGGACTTAATGGCGCATTGCAAAATTGCAAACGTAGTTCGGCCGTGCAGCACCGATTCTCATCTATTTCTTGACGAAGACATCCGCAGTTTTCTCGTCCCCTTCCGCGTTTCTGAATCGCTTCTGCAACGAAAAAAAAAAACCGACACCAATTCGTTACACGTGATGAACACAGCGTTACGATGATTAGATGATGCGTGCATCTCGGGGAAGATTCACTTTCGCTTTGCTTATCTTTATCCGTTTTGTGAGGCTCACTTAGACCCGATTAATATTAATCATCGATGCAGCACATCATTCATTATTATTTCATTTCCCCCAAAGGTGCAAGGCTTCCAAACGATGACATGTTAATTGTAACAATGTCAAGCGAGCCTCGCAGAACCGCAGGTGTTTTAATCGCGTCAACGAAAAACGTGTAAAGTAAGGCTGAAGCACACAAGCTCCCTTTAGTATGTAATCCGACTAGGACAATCTGAACTTCTTCTTTCGATCCCTCTGGCTCGGTGTTTATCTTCCCTGGGGTGGGATTTCGTTACTTGGGCTCAGTAATTATTCCTCGACTTGTAATTATGCCCTGGACGGTGTGCAAGATTTCACGAGCGGTTGCAACAATTGGAAAAAAAAGGGAACGTTGAAATCAATTTGTCATGAAAAGTTTGTCCCGCCATCTGCGTCACGAGCTTATCTTTTGTTCTTGCAACACAATTTCAGGCGTCCAATTTACAAATAATTATAAAAGGTGCAAGAGTCCTCCCTCTAATTTACAATTAATTATAAATAGTATCGGAGTGCTTTCCCTAATTTCTAAAACCTAAATATGGCAGGAATGAAAATTAGGTTCGCGTTACGGATCAAGTTCGCCTACTTGTGCCGAAGGCTTCGCAATTTTTGAAATTTCCGGGCTCACCAACTTCTCTTTCGTCAGTGACTTCATCGGTGACTCACCATGATCCTGTACTTTTCTTTGCAAGCGTACTCGGTCTCGTCCACGTCGTTGTAGCAATCGCTTTTATAGTCCGGCGGTATCGGTTTTCCCTCGAACTGGCAGAGTTTGGACAACGGTTTCGCGTTCACTATCATCTTTTCGAAGCCCGTCGGCTTTTGTTGCGGGCAGTAGAACACGTCTGGCGTGTTCTTGTCAAAGACAATGCTTTTCCGCAGCATGTCGCCAGCCTCCGTCGTCACGAAGATCATCTAACATAAAAGAAATCAATGTTCCCGCGATCGTTATGCGTTCTCACATTATTTTTCAGAGAAAGTGCTTCCTTCAATTAAATAAACATAGCGACGACTACTTTCTCTGACCCCGAGTAAAAAGACGGTGAAAGAATGGTGCTCGGTTTCCCGAGGCCCACGGGTCATAATCATCGAAAATATGCTGACAATACGCAATACTATCGTTAATCTATTAAATCCTGCATTACGTTTCAATCGACGGTGATTCATAGATCATTTAGCTTAGCTTTTCACTCGTGAAAGGAATATCGGCACGAGTCTACGTGTTTTTACGCAATAAGCCGAGTCACGCAATTTTCAGTCAATTTTTTTCTCGAGTACAAGCGATTATTAGAAGCAAATCGATATAAATTTTTCGTATGCTTTGATCTTGATTTGCCGAATTTTCCTTGGCCATCGATTCCGATTTCTCCTCGAGTGATAACAATGCGCGCACACGCGTCTTCCGGGTGGTGAGAAAAGCAGGAAGTCGGTGTCAATTGTTACTTACGGCGAGCATGATCACCATACAGTACACGTACGCGGTCCCTGAAAAGAAAAAGAAAACGTGTGTTAGAGTCAGTTTTCGTTGATCAAAAATGTAAGAAACATAAAAACGTTTCGATTGTGAGACACCGTAGCTGATGCAACGCAACTCGTCGACATGCACTCTCATTAAATAAACGCCGACTATGAAAACTGGGCCATTTGGAAAGGGAGTCAATGCCGATTAAGCGACAGGCTGTCCCTTTTCCGTCGAGTCATTCTGTAGATATCACTTAATACCCGCCGCTTCATCAGAAGTCTCCGTTAATAGAAATTCATTATTTTCGTTTCGATGTAGAATTACATAATACTTGCACGTTCACCTGTCCAAAGTACAACCACGATCTAAACTTGAAACTAAATCATCACTGAATTTTAGTCGGGACTGATTTATTTAAAACATCCTTTCATGGTTCATCACAGAGGAGAGCAGCCTAATTAAGACCAAAGCCAGCATGTACGTATCTTAAGAATAAATAACACTTGCAACGATATCACTTGTATCTAGTTTTGGGTCTATTTTAGCCGAAGAAGAAAAACATAACGTTATTAGTAGACTGCGGATTTTATGGATTTATGGCAAAAATGAGTAGTGAAATACAAACCAGTGGAGAGTTTAGAAGAATTTTAGAGTGCTGTTATATTATTTTTTAGTGTATTCATTCACGTGATTAAACGAAGAAATACATTTTTATATGACTTTTATTTTTTACGGTTGACATACAAACGTTTTATTTTGCATAAAGATCTACAGTCTGGTTATTAGCAATGTTAACTGATTCAAAATTTCGAGAGGAAGGTAATAAAAATGTCTAGCTATCCTGGGATGGAGGCCAAGAACAGAATAATAATTAATGAAGAAATGCAAACGGTCGCAGGATCGGTTTGTTTGAACTGATCTTCGATTTGATCTAACGGCGAGTGGGAAAATACTGTCAGACACAGACATTATTTTTATCTATGTGATCTATTATGTACTTCCAGACACCGCTCCCCTGCGGCTTCTGCAAGGACGACGAGGCCACTGCGGTTCCGCGTGGTACGTTTCATCGGGCTGCTCCTGTTTCAGAATACGGATTACGCTGAACCGATACCCCTCTGACATTTCAGTTTACAGCGTATGACATTTACATAAAACGCCAGCTGTTTCATGGAGAGCAGTGCTAATTTCTACAGTTTCGTTCGAAAGTTCAGGATTCACGCTAGATCTACGAAACTTGTATCATAGATCATTGCATTTATAATTTCAATCGATGAAAAAGCGGTTCAATATTTATTTACTAATTATTCAATAGCTATGTTTTTTTAGTTGCAAAATATTTGGTTATCCCAAGTGATGTCATTTAATCGAGCAACTTTTGCTTAAAAGATACAGTAGGTATAGCATTTTTTAAAGAGCTCGTTAAATAGGCTTCCGGTAGGCGAATTGTTAATTACTGCAACGGTCCTAATTGATTTCACCTCGAACACTTTAATGTCAAACATTTTTGTGCGTATGTTACTTTGATAAATATCATTCGCAAGAGAAAAGGAAGAATCTTTTATTCTTTCTTTAAACGATTATTCTATCTCGAAGACGAGTTTAATTAACAACAGTAAATTTATACACTTCATTAATGTGATTCGTCCCATCCTCATTAAAAAGAAAGAAGATTTGATGGCTCACACTAAGAGAGAACGTAATGCTGACTTGAAATTTCTAGGTCAATGTTTAACGAGGTGTAAAAGCGCGTTGTGTTGCGAGAGTGATTACTGACTCACGATTTTTCTGTAAATTTTCAACGTTTTCGTATTGCCCACTTTAATTAACACGACTTTTAATCAAATGGATGAGCGTGCAATGACATTCGTCGGTGAGTGACATTTTCCTGCGACATTTAAAGAATCGCTTTCCGAAGCACGAGGTAAAAGCTACCATAGTATTATAAATTGTCAGTGGAGATAGGTTAACATTTTCTCAATGAATTCAAAAATAATTCGTAACACTGAATTTATACAAATTCATTGGTCATGTTATCAATCGCTGCTCCAAATAATCGCGGAATTCGAAGCAATATAGCTACGCCAATTTCACATTGTTCAAGTAATACCCCAATCATTTCAAGCAGTTTATAGCTCCTCTTGTTAGAGTCCTATGTCCTATAACGTTAAAAAGATTATCAATCCAATTCTTCTTTCGGAGCGATATAAAACAACACGAAACCTTTAACCCTAGAACTCCTAACACAAGTTTACCATCTCGTCGAATTTAAACTATCTACGTTCTACTAAAAATTATTCAAAAATTTATTTACATCCCTCTAACTTTGATATTCGAAAGGCATCATTACGCATGCAAGAAAAACAATCATGCATAATAATGACACTTGTGTGCGTAGCCGATCCTTTCCCTCTTATTCAAAGAATAACAACCAACGCAGACTGGTTTTTATTATACAAATAAATAGTTAAAATACAAAAATCGTGATACACAAAGCTTCAGTGAATATTCTTCTTTGTAATTACTCAGGAAAAATCATATTACACTATTTTCCGTTATTGTTTCATTTGACAAGTAAAAAGTTTAATCGCTAAACTTGTTCGATTATCGATGTCATAATGTATTTGAATTCTACACAATTTTCAGCAAAATGCAAGATTTATCGCTAAACAACAATTATAATGGACCAATAAATCGCTTCAATGCTAACACTAAAACTATCGGCTGGTTCGTATTTCCTTTTCGAAAGTAACAAGATCGCGTTTATCAAATTGCCCACAAAAGCATTTACACAACCTCAATAATTATAAAATAAATAGTTTGAGATCCGTCATTTTGACGGGTCTAATATTAAAAGCCTGTAAATTGTTAAGAATGTTGCATGCTATTGTTATGTCAGCAGAAAAGCGTCAGCATAGGACAGAACGTTGAGTCCACAGCATACCTAAGTCTCATCCCGCATACCTAAATGAAGACGCAAAATATTAATGCGTGGGCTTCATGCTCGATTCGCAGGGCTAGGATGCTGATACGCGAGGAGTGGTGGCTTATAGTTAGGGTAGCTTTTGACTATTGAACACAGGTGAAAACTCACCCATGCTAGTGAAAGCTGGTCGCAGGGAACACCTGTTGATCCACACGAGACGGCGTCCCTTCGTTGACTGAGATCACGGATCGCGGCGAATCCAGCACCTCACAGGTTCGGAAAGTGAGTGCCGTTATGTTCTACAGGACTGACCAAAACCACCGGACTAACAGTATCAGCAATCAACAGAAAGAGGCAGCAATCATCAAAAAGCAGTTTGTCAATCTTTTTTCTTTTACTATAATCGCTTTCTAATCTTTTATTCTAAACAATAGCGCGTCACGCATATACCTACAAACGCGTTTTTCTCGAAACTATTGGGCCTGGTAATACGAAATATTAAATTTTTAATCATTCGTGACTTGGTTAATAAATTGAGTATTGAAAAACTGTATTATTGTCCTAAAACATTATATTTGTAATTCTTCAGCAATCACCGTTCTTTCTGACTTCGTCTGCGATTATTACAAGAATTTGACTTGATTACACGTGTAATTGGGAATTTTGGACGGTGATGACGAATAGAGTAGGAGGAATGTGGGTAGACGACCTCGTCCTTCCCATATTCAAACCGTATAGTGTCATCAACTCTGTGGTGGGCTTCATCTCAAGGATCACTTTTCTTCTGATTATTATTCCATTTTATTTCATGTTCTCTTCTTCAGTACATGTTTCTTCGAACATTGTTCAAAGACATGCAAAAATATATTATATTCTAATTAAATGGCGAAACAGCATTAGGACGACAATTGTAAAAAAGTAGTATCTTTTTCTCAAGCTCCATTGATAAAAACAGATCGAAACACTGGCTTACAACCTGTCCACCTAAAAAAATATTATTAAACAATACATGTGGAAACTTTTCATTACTTATTATCTTACTAAATCATCCAGGTCAACATCCATGGCATCCTCAGACTCATCATCTTTGATCTCGTCATCTTCACCTTCGTCATCTTTGACTGTTGCTTGAATAGATTCTTCAACGTCATTCTTTTTATTGCTCTGCATATCAACTGTATTCTTAAAGTCATACCTATATTAAGAGTATTATTGTTACTAGAAGATATACTGTCTTTGAAATTTTAAGATTTCACACTGTACAAATTATTGTTACTTTTCTTTCTTTGTAGGCTCTATACTCTCCAACTGAAATAATTCTACGATTTTCTGAAGATGACATTTACTATTTTGTTTCACCAATGGGACTTCAAGAATGTTTTTTAAATATTCTTCTATAGGCGGTAACGGTTCATTCGGATGAAGTGCGCGGTGTGATAACGCATGCCATTTATGTTGCAATCCAGGATCAGGTACACATCCTGGTAAAAAACACTGACTCCTATCTATGTTGCCGTCATCTCTACATACAAAAAATATAGAAAAAATACACTGTCGACTCTTACAAACCATCTTCATACTACTTACTCTGTATCAGGTAGCATCAGGGAATCAAGTAAATTGTCTACAGCTTCATTTTGTTCATTTGTCAACTGTTTTGTAACAGACTTAAAAGATCTCGGACTTACTATTCTTACCTCTCCTGCGAATGGTAAAGATATTTCTACCAGACACTACAAATTAATTGGATCACTAATTAAACCACACATGTTCGCGAATTTTATTGGAAAAAATATTAAAAAATACCCATGGCTCATCAGGATCGTCGATGCACGGAAATAATACTACCATTTTGGGGGTTAAATTATTGCTATAAACTTTTCTTACAATGGCGACCAAATTATCTGTATGCATCGCTTGGACGAAACTATAAAACGGCTTGACAGAATTCTAAAAGATAAATAGCGCACGTGTTATTAACTCAAAGTTTTCAAAATAATTTTATATGATGGTGGAACATACTTCATCCCGACTTGAAGGTAAGACAATAGTTGAAGTGTCATCATACCACCACGCTAAATCAATGCTATCTTTACATACAAAACTATGAACCATATAGCATCTCGGACCACCTTTATAACTCAGAGATTCTTCTAGATCTTCTGTATTCATAAAAGTATTTGTACATATAATATGAACTATTTTTATACTTAAACAAAATTTTACACAAATATAATTCTACTGTAAAAAAGATTAATGCCATACTTTCAACAGGAATAAACTCTCCCCCATATTTATAACCTGCTACAGCATCATCTTTGTTATAGCTCGATCTCTCCCTGTTGAAATATTGTACTTCTGATTTGACTTCCTTATCTTCTGAAGCAATTTCCCATGGTGAAAGTTCATTATCTTCCGATATCTATAATAGATCATGTGATGTATTTGATATACTTATATGGTATATATGGTATATCTGACTTAATTAAGCTCTTAAAATTCTGTCTTACTTTAGTATAACTAACAATTGGTATTTCTATGTCAGCTAATTTCAAGTTAGCATACCAAGGCATAGATTTGGTAAGTACATCACCATAAAACTTCAACTCTGATATAACATTATCAAATGTTAAATGCTGGCCATTGATCTATATAATAATAAATATTTTATTAACATCTCCCGGAATAAACTGCAAAAATAAATGTTATAGCAAAGGTTACCTTCTCATGTAAATTTTTAAGAAATTTCTCACTAACGTTAAGAGAACCTTTTGGCTTATTTTCCAATAATTCTTCACCTCTAAAAGAAAATAGAAATATCAAATAATATCATGTGCTGTTTTAATCCGTGATGAAATAGAAATGCAATTAATAAATTTAATACATTGTAAGCAGCTGAATTTCATGCGTATTCAGATCCTCTGCGATTTTATCTACCTTAAATTGTGAGATAATGTCTACCCCTTCATTAAAATCAGACATGAGAAATATAACTGATTTATCATTATCAATGCTGGAATAAAATATAAATGAAAATCAATTGTAAGACTTGCAATGGATTATAATAAAATGTTAAAAACATACGCATTATCTTCTATGTATTTTACTGTAGCAATAACTGCTTCTATCCAATTAGAACAATGTTTTGTGGCATGCAAATGCATAATTTTTTCTATTAATTCCCAGTTTGGTACTTCAAAATCAATATACTCTTGTACATATTCAGTATCTATGCTATTTTTTGTAATAGAAGAACCCATTAGTATGACAGCAATTTCATCTTTTGGTCGTAGGAAAATCTGTAAATCATTTAAAAAAATAATTAATTTCTTGACAAACCTTTTTTTAATCATGATATATGTTTCTTACTTTCTTATCAATAATTCTTTTAGCAATATGTTTAAACTTTTCCAGCACAGCAGGATTGGTTTCTTTCCCAGGACATGTCACTCCTATATTTATTAACAATACTAATGCATCCTGAAAATTGAATAAGAAATATGTGTACTTTTTTCGATTGATATTAAAGGGTTAACAAACACAAGAACTGATAAAGAATTGTCATTAAAATATTTATCTTTAGTAATTTCTAATTTAATGAAAATGAAAACAATAACCTTCGAAGGTGGCATTTTGCAGAAATTCAATTGGAGCAAATACTTAATTAAAAATATGTTCCAAAGTCCTGAAAAATTAACAAACACGATTATCAAGGCTTATAAGCCTTAAAGATACACATAGAGGCAAAATTATTTTTAAAGTTGCATGGTTGCAACTATAATTTTAATTTTTACGCATAACACTTCAAATAAAATAATTAATAGGTAGGTAATGCAATCTACATAGAGGACTACGTATCAAGTAACTGTCAAAAGTCGCTGCATCTATGTGAACATCCTGCAACATTCAAACGTAACAGAACTATATTTGTAATATAGTTATGTACATTAAATGTACATACAAAACGATTTACATATTTATACGTTAAATGTAAAGATATGTACAAAATTTCTGCAATCAATAATGAAAAATAATGTTAATAATGTTTTAACCTGCGTTATTGCCACGGCCCTGTAATTTATTGATTTTCTCTCTAGTTCGACGGAGTTGGTCGAGCATGTGATGCGGCACGTGACGCGGCTCCTTTGACTCAAATTTTCGGAAAACAACTCATAATACAATGACATAAAACTTTTTGTAATCTTAACATTTTTAAACTGATTTTTTTAAACATATTGCTGATAATTTTATGATTAAAATGAGATCAAACATGATATAATGTGGACAAATATTTCTCTTTAAAATAAAATCAAATACGATATAATAATAAATATTTAATATTTATTGTGAAAAGTTATATTCTATATTGAATTGTTTTGTAGCATATTATCCTTGGAATCATGTAGTATCGTGGCCTGCAGTAATGGTTTTCCTCTATTTCCTAATAACAAATACAAATGTAAAAAAAATTAATTTATATATAATTCATATTCAAATTGACTGCAAATTTTTACCATTATATGAATACATACTTATGTAATGCTCTTTGCCCAAGAAAAATATTTGTAATCCCTGCACTATGCATTGTATAAAAGTCGGTGCTCTTGCACTGTAAGATGTCAATCTCTCAAATATTGTATATAATTCACCTTTCACAGTTTCGTTACTGCTTCCTGCATAAATTATTTCTTGCAGTTCTTCTTGAGGTTCTTCTGTTTCTTCTTGAAGTTCTTCCATTTCTTCTTTTATTTCTACGCTTTCGTTCCTTCTTTCTGCTTTCTCACAGTTTAATAAATATTGTGTAACATGTGCCAGGGTGCATTGTTCACCTGTGATTATACTTATCATGTCTTGCCAGTCAGGTTGAAGCTCTTTCGTATATGACTGAATGGAAGGACTAGCAGGATTAATAATTTTATTCCATACGTTTTTGATATTTCTTTGTGTAATTTCCAACCAGGATTCAGATAAAATGTCAATGCAGCTTTTTATTGTGTAATTGGCATAAAATTCATTTATTCTTCCATCATATGTTAAAACACATTGCAAGAATTTATGGCGGAAAATTCTTTTTGTTTTCTCTATGATCTCTTGATCCAATGGTTGAAGAATAGATGTTGTATTAGACGGTAAATATATAATTTTAAAATCCTCATCTTCTTGTTGTGAAACTTTATAAGCTTCACAGTTATCTAACAATAAAATTGCTTTTTGTGGTATTTGCTTTTCCTCCTGGTATTGTTTTACAGATGGTTTAAAATGTTCTTCAAACCAATCTAAAAATATTGTACTGTCCATCCATGCATTTGTCTGCGATTTAAAAATTACAGGTAATGAAACTTCATGTTTCAAAGCTATTGGGTTTTTATATTTGTAAATTACAAGAGGCATAATCTTATGCGTGCCTAACGCATTTGCACATAAACCAATTGCAATTCTATCTTCTTTCAGCTTGTGTTCGCTAAGACTTCTTTTTTCTTCTCCAGCCAGTGTTTTCGTCGGAAGAGCCTTCCATAAAAGTCCACTTTCGTATATATTATAAACATTTTCTAAACTTATATTTTCTTCCTTCATTATTTTTTTTAAATCTTTTACAAATGCTCTATCCTGATCAGCACTAACTCTCTTCCGGTACGCGTTTCTGAAACGTATATCATGACGTATTTTAAATTTTGTTAACCAGCCACGACTCACCTTAAATTGCGAACATGATGGCAAATTTTCTTTTACTTCTGTCGCCTTTTGTAATATGAGATTATCGGTTATACGGTCACCAAGTGTTCTTCTTTGTTCGAACCATGCCAATAATTGTTTATCTACTTCATCATATACTGGCTCTGCTATTCTTCGTCGCTTAAGCTCGTATTTACTTTTATCAGCAAACGCATTAATTTTTGTAGCATTTTTACGAATGTCTTGGATTGTTCTGATACTAACACCATATTTATTTGCAATTTGTTTAGATGTCAATCTTGTTTCTCGAATATCCTTCAAGACATCCAAGCGTTGCTGCATGTTCAATAACGTATATTTCCTTCTTGGTGGCATAATATTAATAGTAAATATATTAATTGTCACAATTTATATATCACTGACTATTAATATCACCAATAATAACACTTGACACTAAAAATTAATAATGCATGTTTACAAATTGTAATTCTATCTTTTACTGATTTAAATAATTTTAATATTGTATTAATACGTGTATTTTTATCTCATTTGTCTGATAGAATTTGAATCGGCCTCTTACAAAAATCCTCGTACAATAGAATTCTAAAGGTTGAAGCCGTGAAAATAACAGGCTGTCAGAAAAGGCGCGCATTGGAGAATTCATAACATTTGCAAAAATGAGAGGTGTAATCCCATGGAGAAGTGCAATTATGCAGTGAATTTAAAAATTAAATTAAGTTCTTTAATCATAGACGAGAGTCTAGATTAATAAGCTCTTGTATTTATCATAAAAATTGTAGATTAACAATTCTTCGTAATGTTCTAATTCAAAAGTTATTGATTTAGGTTACTTCTATTAGGTAAGGTATTGTTTACTTTTCGCTTTATTATGTTTGCTTACTACGTATTCACGTAAATTATATTCTACGTTATTGTTTACTCGTAGGTTGGTTTAAGAATTATATTTTTAATAATTATCTAATATGGAAACCGTTGTAAAAACTTCCTGGTTAGAACTCGCGGATGAAGAAGATGCTCTTCTTAATGAAGCCATTTGTATGAGTTCAAATGAACTTGGTAAAATATTAGAGTCGAACAAAGAAAGCACAATTGCTCAAAATTCCTTACAACCACAATTGCACGAAGATGTTACTATGAGCGTTACAACAAATATTAATACAAATGTATTTACAAATCATTCATCCAACATACAATATGAAGATAATGTTAAAAATAAACTAGAAGACTTGTACTGTTTACGCAAGAGAACTAGAGAAAATAGTACATACAATGAAGATACAAAAGTTTTTCGAACTCGACGTAACAGTGACTCTAGTTCTACTACGAACTCTTCTGACAGTAGTAAAAAATGTGTAGAATATGAAACAGATCCTATAGTATTGGCACGTAGACAAAAAGAAATAGATTATGGAAAAAATACCATTGGATACGATAGATACATTCAGGCTGTGCCTAAGTAAGGATTTTATAAGCAACAATATTACTATAAAGATATAAAATAATTAATTTTACTAATTATATCCATTTTTAGAGAAAAACGTACAAGGGAACATCCAAGAACACCTCCAAAGTATATTAAATATAGTAGAAGAGGGTGGGATGGTATGATAAGATTGTGGAGGAAACAGCTTCATCAATGGGATCCTCCTGAAGATAACAATGCTGATTGAAATAAAATTGAAACTTTATTTTGTTACATAAATATTTAATTTTGTAATACTATTTCTGGTTCCATGTCATTGTGGTTCCTCCACATATAAATATTAAGTCAAATGTAGTGNTATATACATATATGTATACACATATTAGGTCAAATTTAGTGTAAAGTTTGGTACATTCTTATACATATTTATATGCATTAAAAAAAATTAAAGTAAATTAAGAAATTTATATTATACATGTAGCATAGGAAATCTTTAATTTTGAAATTTTTACTAAACTTACTGTTTAGTTCATATATAAATACATGTACAGATCTACAAGTTTGAAGATATTCGAAAACACTTAGAAATAAAAATGAAAACATAGTATTATTTAAAAATTCTTTAATTTTCCTTTTACTTTATATATTAAGTTCCTTATTTAGTTATTTTTTGATTGTTTTCAAGCATAGATTGTATATTCAAATTATACAAAGTAAGCTTTATT